TCATGCGGCACCCAGAAAAGTCCCATTGTTTGAGCTTTAGTTGGTTTCATGGGAATTCCAGGGATGTGGTGCTCTGATGACTGAGCTTCCGCACGCACGCACGCACGCACGCACACACGCACGCACGCACTACATCAGGGGTGCCCACAATGACTAGCTCAATTAGATCTACCAGCGGAAAAAAAACAAGCACATTTAAATCGTTACTGGGACTACTGCCTCTCTCGCGCGCGCTCTCCCCCCTGTCTCTTCTCACCTCGCACTTTCTCTCCTCCCTGTCTCTTCTCTCTCCCTGCTGTCTCTTCTCTCTCTGCTATCTCCTCTGGCTGTCTCTTCTCTCTCCTCTGCTGTCTCTTCTCTCTCTGCTATCTCCTCTCTCTCGTCTGGCTGTCTCTTCTCTCTCTCCTGTTGTCTCTTCTCTCTCTCTGTTGTCTCTTCTCTCTCTGTTGTGTCTTCTCTCTCTGCTATCTCCTCTCTCTCTCTGCTGTCTCCTATGGCTGTCTCCTCTCTCTCTCTCTGTTGTCTCTTCTCTCTGCTATCTCTTCTCTTTCTCTGTTGTCTCTTCTCTCTGCTATCTCTTCTCTTTCTCTGTTGTCTCTTCTCTCTGCTATCTCTTCTCTTTCTCTGTTGTCTCTTCTCTCTGCTATCGCCTATCTCTCTGCTATCTCTTCTCTTTCTCTCTGCTATCTCTTCTCTCCTCTGGTTGTCTCTTCTCTCTCTCTCCTCTGGTTGTCTCTCCTCTGGTTGTCTCTTCTCTGCTGTCTCTTCTCTCTCTTATGTCTCTTCTCTCTCTTATGTCTCTTCTCTCTCTCTGCTGTCTCTTCTCTCTCCTCTGGTTGTCTCTTCTCTGCTGTCTCTTCTCTCTCTTATGTCTCTTCTCTCTCTCTGCTGTCTCTTCTCTCTCTCTCCTCTGGTGTCTCTTCTCTCTCTCCTCTGGCTGTCTTTCTTTACCTGCACTGCAGCAGCTCCCCAAATCTCCTCTCACGTGCGCTGTGCTGTCCTCCTGCGCTGCTCGTGTGGCAAATGTAGCTGACGCTACAGACTGGGAGGGGCTTCCCGCCTCGCACTGGTGATAGTGTGGCCCTTCCCGTCTGCAAGGAGAGGTGTCCCGCCCCTTCCCGTCTGCAGCGTCTGAATAATTCAGCCGATCGCAATCTAGCAATGTTTGCTTTGCGATTGACCTATTGGGCACCCCCTGCTCTACACTGTACAGTACGCAGTCAGATAATGAGATCTTCATTCAAGTTGCCCTTCCACAACACCGACTCTCTCACCACAAACTGTACAGTGATAACAAAAAAAGAAGAAAAACACATAAACGACGAGTGAATGTAAATAATTTTATTGATTATCAAATCTTTAGAAACATCTGCGGTTCCACTGAGCTCAGGCCATTCCTTGGCATCTATGGAAGCAGAACTCCAGGCAATAATAAGACTAGCACAGTTTAAAGAGACCCGGTCACCAACATGCAGGTAAAAGACAGAAAATCCCGTATGTTAAATGCTTTCTTGCATTGTTTTCCTTTCCATACATTAGTTTTTTAGTCACTTGCAATGTGCCTTTGAACTAGAAAATGTTGGCCAGTTGATTCCATAGCAAAGCCCCCTCCCTCTTTGCATGTCATAGCCCCCTCCTCTTCTGGAAGTGTCTAATTTCTCACTTTGCTGGCCCAGCTCCTCTGCCTCTCACCTCCCCACATAACCTTTTATATAGCTGCTAGGGAAGGAGTGAGAGGAAATACTATAGCGACGCTTGAGACAGCTGGGACGGCTGTCGCCACATCCAAGATGGTGGTGCCTAGCAGCAGTCTCTGGGCTTTTGGAAGGCTACGCAATGGAGGCTTTTACAGGTAAATAACACGTATAAAACATGTTACATGCACGTGTCATTTTATGGGAAGATTTTTGGTTGAAATGAATGGTCTGGTGGCAGGATCACTTTATATAGTAAGAGGTCACCGGCACTAGGAAAGATACCTTTCTATGACTTATTGTGAATACAGAATGTCACACAGGTCAGTCGGCCTATGTTGCAGACCTCGTGGGGTCCCCCATCCTCAGGGCAACTTCATGACTGACACTACAAGGCCTGAATCATTGCCAGATTGCCCAATGTGACATTATGGGGCCAGCACCATCTAGTGGCCAAAATGCAGAATTACTTCACAACACATTCAACCTGAAAAGAAAAGATATCTAAGAAGATTCCTTTTTTTGGGTCTCTTCGCACAGAACGAACGTTCAGAAAGATTCGTAGGGCTAATGTCTCTGCAAATTGGTTATAAACGGACAACTTGTGTTCTGCCACTAGCACATCAGGCTTCATTGACTTGTGTTCTGCCACTAGCACATCAGGCTTCATTGACTTGTGTTCTGCCACTAGCACATCAGGCTTCATTGACTTGTGTTCTGCCACTAGCACATCAGGCTTCATTGACTTGTGTTCTGCCACTAGCACATCAGGCTTCATTGACTTGTGTTCTGCCACTAGCACATCAGGCTTCAGTGACTCATTGAGCCTGATGAAGGGACGCTGCGTGGCCCCGAGAAGTTGCCACCTTTGTGACATAAATGTACATATCTCAATAAAGACTTTTTTCCGGACACATTACTTGTGGTGTGCTGGTGACGCATTGTCTTGGATTTAAGCGGCGCCATCTGCACCCATAGCCAAGGGGTATACCGGTCAGGAGTGCAGTGGGATGCTCATTGTGCCACTAACACATTTCCTGTCCTAGCCAGGGAACGCTTGTTCACTGTACTGTGTCAGGACAACAAAAACAAGTAAGGGCTGTGGAACCCCGCCTTTCTCCAATTCTACATAACAAAGGGGGTGTGCTTTCGTAGTCCTCAGAGAAACCTGATAACAGTCACCACAGGAAGTTAATTTCAGGCCTTGCAGGGCCCCATCCTCAGGGCAACTCGGCAACTGACCGTGCAAAAGCCAAAAACGTTGGCAGATTGACCTCTGCGAGTTTAGGGGGTTGACCTTTTAATCTTCCACCCTGCGTATAGCTGGATGAATGCCCTTTGCACAGCATTACCGCCACTAGATGGAGCCTGGGAGCACAGGAATTCCCTATGCGTTTAGTGGCAGTAATGCTGCACGGACAGCGTTCATCCAGCTATACGATGGGTGAAAGATTTAGAAATCAGCCCCTATGTGTTCATAATAAATCACTGGAGTGCTGGCGACTTCTTACTTTGATAATGCATGGCGCCATCTATAAGCCCCCCCTGAAGTTATATCTGGTCTGAGCACTGTTAGAGTTGTGTAGCTCTACATGGGACGCTTTTCAGGGTCTCTCTTTAAATCCTAACCGTCCATAGATCCTAAGATGGAGGAAAGGAGCTACCTGGGCGGCTGCTGCTGCTGGCTAGAATTGTCTTTTAGCCTGCATGGCCTACAGAGAGACTGCAGCCTGTGCTCTGGCCTAGCTACATTCAGAACACTTGATGCATGCACACAGAGGATGGGATCTTCCTTAATGTATAATGACACTTTGATTGTGAATCCCCCGGGCTGCAGATGGGGCTTGTTGTTGTACTCTACTCCCAATACCCCCCCCCCCATATCCCTATCCTTTTTTTTTTAAGGGCCCATTCACACCACATCCAGATCATCTCCAGACCAGACCAGATTGTTTCCAGACCCAAAATGCATCTTAATGTATCCCTATGCTATTTCTGGCATCTGTTCACACCAGCGCAGTCCGTTCCAGACCAGAAAAATACTGCAGGTCTTATTTTCTCCGGTCTGGAATGCACTGGAACTGCGAGCAGGTTCACACCATCTGCCAGACCAGATCTGGTCCGGAAAATGATGTGAACCTGCCCTTAGCCCGGAGTGCAAGCTCTGTGAAGGCAGTACAGCCTAAATAACAACCACATCTAGTAGCAAGGTGTGTGGTCTAATAGTGAGTAAGGGGGGGTCATATGTGAGATAAACTGCATTTATCCTTTAAAACACATTACTGTGGTGAGATTCCACAATGTGAGCCATGAGGAAGAGCAGAAGAAGCTGGTGGTGGAGTCCCGCCGGTGTAATAAAGCTCACTTACAGTCCAATGACCAGATAGGTGACACAGGAATCAACAAAGCTGTAATATTGAATAGAGGTGTCACCGACCCAGCGATATAGTTTGGCGGAGCTGTGAGAACTACAAAAGTGTCCGAGCACTGTGCATGAAAAACAGTTCACATACGTATCTCTACGGTGAATATAAATGGAGTTCTGCTTTAATGGTTCAGTTTAAACAAAGAGAACATTTGAATTGCTGTTATGACGAGTCTGTCGCTGGCATCTTCTGGCTTTAAAACTTAGGCTGGGTTCACACCTGAGCGGTTTTTTTTATGCTCGTTTTTTTTCGTTCAGTGAAACGCGCGTTTAACTGGCGGTATGATTTTTTCTTTTTTTTTATTTATTTTCTCTGGGTTTTTATTTTAATTTTTTTGTTTAGTTTCACTTTTAAACTTCCCGCCGGGTCCGCCCCCCTGCGACACAGCCGCTCGCAAGGGACGGAACCCGGAAGTCGCCGAAGACACAGCGGGGATCGCGTACAAGGTAAGACCTGTACGCTGTATTCCTGAGTGTGGCTCGGGGTTACCGCTTTGTTAACCCCCGATCAACACTCGGGAATACCAAAGGCAACGCGCGGGAAAACGCCCCAAAGAAGCTCCTGTACTGTACAGGTGGGAACCATGCCCATAGGCAATCATTGGTTTTCACATGTTGAGCGTTTTACAGCGTGTAGGGACGCGCTGTAAAACGCCGAGGTGTGAACCAGGCCTTACATGAGCACTACAAATCCAACACATTCTCACTCCTCTAGCAACATTTTCCTGCCAAAGTGTGAGACCTCCATTATAATGGTGGCTGCTGTGGATGGGATCTTGGAGTAGAAATCTCAGGTCGGGAAATATAAGGAGCCAGAAAACGAATCAAATCACCTACAAAGCACCTACCAAAATCTAAATGTCATTTCTGGAAGAACGGGCCCATTAAGCTGCCAGGGAACTACAAGTCCCCTTGTGCACTGCACTGGGACTTCTAGTTCCCTGGCAGCTGGACGGCTGCACATCGCCTATTAGTTGGCGTTTACCAAAATAGAGTCTTTAGAAAAAAATACATTTGTAGAGATTATGATACTTGGAGGGGGACGGGGTTGATCTCGGGGTTCAGGTTGATGAGCTTGTTGGTGGCCTGGGCCAGCTCGGAGATGGAGACGCGTCCTCTCTGGCGGATGAACTGGGCGACGGCCGACATCTCCTCTGACGTGATGTAGATAAACTTTCCTCTGTCGTCGATCACACCTGCAGAGACATACAGGACCATAGGAATAAAACAGCACGGGATGGGCTGGCATTGCTGAACTCCATCATGGTTAGAGTAAGAACTAAACTACATGAAGGATTTTAATCCCAAGTTGTTAAAGAGACCCTGTCATAAATGTTACAAATTGCAGAATCGAGTATTGTAAATGCTTTTTCCATTCATAAACTTTTTTTTTTTTTCCATTCATTTGCAATGATTTGGATGCCTCAGCTTTCCTATATACTGTATAACTCTCCATGTTGGATTTCTCAAACTATATTTAGGAGGATAAATACAGTATTTAGGGAGTTGATATGGAAGAAGAAACAAGCATGGATAAAACTAGAAACCTTGCAATACCCTAAAGGAATTGGGGGGTTTGCACTTCCAAATCCATGGATAATGTTTTTGGCTACACAGATAAGACACTTGGCGGGTTGGAACTTACCAGGACAGAGGATAGGAGCATATGATATCATTAATTGTCTGTTTCAAAACCGAGACCCTCTTATGGCCCTTGAGACTACTTTATATCTAAAAGAGTTTTCATCTTTACCTACTATAAGATTAGTTGGTAAAATGTGGAAATCAATTAAGGGGTTGCTGGATATTTCTGAGTTTACAAAATATACTCCAATATGGGACAATGGGGTACTACATGAGGTAAACAAACTCCAAGGATTTGGAAGTTGGAAGAAAATGGGGATTCTGACATTGGCGCAAATATATGATCAAGGCGTCTTGTGCTCTTTTCAACAATTACAAGCAAGTTATTTAATACCGAACGCTCAATTTTATAAATATTTACAACTAAGTCATGCACTCACGGTTCATCCGGGCGTACGGGAGGTTTGTATTAATGTAAATGCGGTTATAGATAAACTTGTTAATGCAACTTCGACGAGCGGGTTAATTTCACAAATGTATTCAAATTTATTGCCTGGAGTCCTGAATAAATCTCCTATGAAATGTAAAGTGGGTTGGGAATTGGATGTGGGCCTACTGGATGATACCCTTTGGAGGGAGGCGTTGCTTTCAATCCAATTAGTTTCACCTTCTGCATCGCATAGATTAACACAGCTTTATATTATACATTGAACATACCGGACCCCGGAATTCCTACATAGGATAGCACTCAAGGAAGACTCTAAATGCCCAAAATGTGGGTTTGAACCAGGTTCGTTGATACATTTGCTCTGGCGATGCCCGAAGTTGAAGCGATATTGGCAAGAAATAGTGGACATAATAAATATAGCCTTTGGAGTTCATATTTCTAATAATCCATTGATATGTATTTAGGCTATTTTCGGATCTGTGAAGGTGGAATACTATACGAAGGTGGCAATAGCGAGGGCATTGTTTGTGGCTCGGCGTAGTATCGCCTTTAGGTGGATTTCAGCAACGCCTCCCTCAGTGGAGGAATGGAAGAAAGAGCTAGATAAAGTGGTTGGATTTGAGGGAATTATGTTTAAACATAGAGGTAACATGGATAAATATAGCAAAATGTGGGATAAGTGGATTGAGTACAGAAATTGTGTTTGTCTATGATGTCTCTTTTATCTGATAATGGTATTTTCAGGAGTAATGTGTTTTTAAGTAATATGGTATGATGAGAATTATTATTTTTTTTTTTTTGTTCTGTTTTGTTTAATGTATTGTTGTTTTAAATGATGTAATTATGGATGTAAAAGTGTTTGTTATGTATTTTACTATTAAAATAAAAAAAGTATTGAAATAAAAAAAAAGAAAAATTAATTTGCAATGTCCTTTAATTTGCTAGAAAATCTGACTAGTCCAGGTCATAGTGCGCACCCCCTCCCCCCCCCCCCCATGGGCAGAAACAGACTGCGTCCAGGGTTGTAGGTCTGTATGAATGTGCGGACACAGACTGCTTCCAGGGTTGTAGGTCTGTATGAATGTGCGGACACAGACTGCTTCCAGGGTTGTAGGTCTGTATGAATGTGCGGACACAGACAGCTTCCAGGGTTGTAGGCCTGATGCATGTGCAGACACAAACTGCGTCCAGGGTTGTAGGTATGTATGAATGTGCAGACACAGACTGCGTCCAGGGTTGTAGGTCTGAATGCATTTGTGGACACAGACTGCGTCCAGGGTTGTAGGTCTGAATGCATTTGTGGACACAGAGTGCGTCCAGGGTTGTAGGTCTGTATTAATGTATTTCTCATTTTGCCACTACCAGCAGAGTTTACTCACTGTCTGAATGCATTTGTGGACACAGACTGCGTCCAGGGTTGTAGGTCTGAATGCATTTGTGGACACAGACTGCGTCCAGGGTTGTAGGTCTGAATGCATTTGTGGACACAGACTGCGTCCAGGGTTGTAGGTCTGAATGCATTTGTGGACACAGAGTGCGTCCAGGGTTGTAGGTCTGTATTAATGTATTTCTCATTTTGCCACTACCAGCAGAGTTTACTCACCTGTGATAGAGCCGTCGGCCAATAGATCTTGTATTCTGCTGATGGCATCCTAGTAGGACAGAAGAATAATGTAAGCAAAGAGATCAGACAGTCCAGCCTGGAACTCTTCAGTAACTAGACCAGGGCTGGATATATCCCAGGAGCCAGGTAGTCAATGCTCTTTAAAAATCACAGGTGGCGCCTAACTTTTGGGGATTTCTCTAGTTGGTGTCAATGGAGCTGGCTCCGAAAAATCCTGCTGGCTCCTGGATTGGTCAGACTGGCTCCTGAATTCCATATTATTTTATCCACCTCTGAACTAGACCACACTATATTCATCTACAGAAAAACCTAAATATAAAAGACATACTGTCAACCTGGATGACATTCATGAACAAAATTGGAGGTAAGGAGTCCATTAGCAACCAATTTCCCCATTTCTGTATTTTATTGAGTAGCTTGGAGTAGACACAATGACTGGAATTGGGTTCAATGCTATAGATGTCACAGAGTGCTCTTCTCTAACGACCGCAGTACTCACAAACAGCAGGTAAAAATGACCTTACGATATCCCAAAAAGACGTGTAGACCTTCCCATACCTGTGATCTAAAATAAACTGCATTACCCTCTATGGGCAACTGCCAGCTGGAGCGTCTTAGAGAAGGGGGACCGGTCACACAGCGTGCAGGAGGAATACAGGAGTGAGGAGTAAAATAAGTATTGCAGCTTATTGCTCTACCCCTAGACTTAAAGGAGAACTATGGGGTCAGGGCTTTTCCCCATAGTTCTCCTTAGGGTAACGGGAGGACACAAACTAGCGTCCTCCCGTCACCCTAAGCGCTGTATACCGCGAGCTACAGCTCGCGGAATACTGAGACGCCGCAGCTGAAGCGGATGCCGACAATTATGTCTGGATCCGCCCAGCTGCGTGAGTGACAGCTGGCTCTGCCTATCTAGAGGCAGAGCCAGCTGTACCCGCCCCCGTCTGATCCGCCAGTCAGCGCTGGAGGATCGGAGCGGGGAGGGGGGAATCCAGCCCCTCCCCTGTCACAGCTCTCTGCTGTGACAGGATCGAGAAGGGAGTGAGCGCCGGTATGTGTTCGCTCACTTCCCGATCTACTGAGCCGACCTGTGACAGTCTCATTGTCACAGGTCGGCTAGAACTATGAGGTGAGTGAAAAGCACTCACCTCATAGTTCTCCTGTAATAAGCATTTAACCCTTTCACCCAGGGCGGGGTGGAGGGGGGTTGCACTGCAAGGTAGAGAAACAAAATATACTGGACTTTACCTTTAACCTTGAACCCTGGCTTATGACTGCTTTCTAAAGCTGCCAATGACATCATGGTGCCTCAAAGCTGAATACCCCAAATCTTGCAAGAGTATACTCCTGCAATGAACTGCAGTGTTTTTGGGGGGGAGGGGGTTCAGCTTTTAATTTTTTTTTTAATTGTGGGTGCACATAATTGGGGGAGAACACACAGTTCTCATTTGAAAAAAGATGGTTAAAGCAGTTAAAACACATCAAAGCAATGTAAAGTGTAAATCGTTCTTCGAGAAGTCACAGAAGCACATACAGACAGTTGGGTTTGGGACATCTGTTACCTGAGCTCGTAGACCAAAATGAGCCCCCAGTTCTTCCAGAATGACCACTTTTGAAGCCTAGGAGACAGGACGTCAAACTTATCAGTGGAAATTTCATGAAACATTTTATTTTTCAAAAATACAGGCGTGTAATAGTATAGCATTATGAGAAGGGAGCACAAGGTGGCACTGCTGTGAAGGATATGGGAACCTTGCTTGGTAACATCATGAGATTGCAGATAATACCTAGGATGATACCAGGAACTCAGCCGCATGATATAAGGCTAGCTTCCTGTCTGTTGGGCACTGGGAAGGTGGTGAGGGCCTCACTTGTGGTGTAATTGATTGACATGATCACCACCCAGTGTGTTGAAAATTCAAAGGAAATGTCCAAATCTTTGGATCAACATCCAAGGATCTTAAAGGAGAACTATGAGGTGAGTGCTTTTCACTCACCTCATAGTTCTAGCCGACCTGTGACAATGAGACTGTCACAGGTCGGCTCAGTAGATCGGGAAGTGAGCGAACCCATACCGGGTTCGCTCACCTCTCGATCCTGTCACGGCTCTCTGCCGTGACAGGGGCTGGATTCCCCCCTCCCCGTTCCGATCTGCCAGCGCTGACTGGCGGAACGGACGGATGAGGGGGCGGGTACAGCTGGCTCTGCCTCTAGATAGGCAGAGCCAGCTGTCACTCATGCAGCTAGGCGGATCTCGACGTCCATGTCGGGATCCGCTCCGGCTGCGGCGTCTCAGTATACCGCCAGTTTGTGTCCTCCCGTTACCCTAGGGAGAACTATGGGGAAAAAAACTGACCCCATAGTTCTTTAATATTGTCAGGAGGCAAGCCCAGCGATGGCAGTCGCCTATTTATTTTCATTCTCTCTCCCTAAAGCAGGCCATACACCTACAGTATAGATTATCTGCAGATTTTCTATGGCCAGATGGGAAAAGTGCAACAGGTCCCTCCATCTACGCTAAACTGTGTGGATGGAGGAATCCCCCACTGGGCCAAGCTTCAGTATCTTGCTAGGCGACCCCGCTGGCTCTCAAAATACCTGAGCAATCTGATTGGATGCAGGCACTGTTCTGGTATTTTGAGAGCCGGCGTGGCCGACTAGCAAGATACTCAATTCATTTACACTTTTTTTTTATTTGTAACTTTAAAAAAAAAATGTTTTGGACAACTGTGTCATATTGAGCACGTTGTCACTTTATTATTGAATGGGTCACTGAGGGTGTGAGGAGACTACGAGGTTAACTTGCTCAAGGAATGGAGAACCTTCATACAATAAATTGTGTGAATATCCATACACCGCTCTGCTGCACTGTGATAGGCGGCCGAGCGGTGCGGGAGGAAAGACACCGGCACCGGCATTTTCTCTCTGATTCCTTTCATCCCTGCTGGGCAAGTGCCATTTTCGGCCGACGCCCCCCCTTCCCTTTTCGCCCGGGGCCCGCGCCCCTGCTGCACCCCCGGTTGTTACGCCACTGTAGCCAACAGGAATTTGCTGTTCACAGGATTGGATAATTGAAGTAGGGTTGCAACTAATGATTATTTATTTATAATCGATTTGTTGGCTGATTATTATTTCCATTAATCGGATACAACAAATTAAAAAACCCACCATCCTCAATTTAAAATAAAATACACAAATGGAGTGTTACAAACATAAAGTTTACTTCAGAATAAAACTGCATGCACAATTTTTTGCAATCGCACTCCACTGGAATGCTCAGCATTGCGGTACCATGCGTTCCTGTTAGGGTGATCACACTCAGTGGCGACTCTAGGAACAATATATAGGGGGGGCACATAAGATACCATATTCAAATCTGGGGGGGCACTAATAATTTTAATTGCATGTCGCAACCGCTGGGCGCCGAGAGCTGATTTAATTTGCGGATGGCATCTGCGCCCTGCGGTTGCCACATGTAGTCCAACGCCGCCCACAGTCCTGAATACACACAGTGTGTATGTGCGGCTGTGCGTGGCTCCATACCATCTGCAAACCTTTCTTTATTTTTTTAATGCGGGTTTTCGAACATGTCCGTAAGTTTAAAGTCGTGCGACCTTACAGTAGTAGAGGTCGCACGGCTTCCACACACACCTTACGATCATCGTACGATCGCGGGTAAGGTGTGGGGGCTGGGGCCTTTAATTGTATTTGTCGGGCCGGAACCGAAAATAACTTTTTCCCAACTTTTTATCATTGTATTGTAAGCACATGGCGCTTGAATAGCTTCAGCCCATGAATGACAGCTGCCAGTGGCAAGATTCTGCAGATTGCAGCTGAACGTAAATACGGGCAGTCCCCAGGTTACAAATAAGATAGGGACTGTAGGTGTGTTCTGAAGTTGAATTTGTATGTAAGTTGGAACAGGTACATTTTTTAGGTGTACTGTAGCCAAAAATGTTTTTGTTTGTTTTGGATAGCATAGGGAAGGGTTAACCCCCTGTAAAGTTTGTTTTGCTGTGTGCCCCTGTTCAGAAGATTTCACCTCACTTTCTGTCCCGTGTGACAATTGGATTTTGAAAATTTTGGGTTGTCGTGGAAACAAGGATTGGTGATAAAGCTTCAATGGAGACACCTTCTCCCCATGATTACTCTTAGGGTCCCCACACACCTTACGATTATCGTACGATAATCGCGGGAAATCCCGCGATCGTAAGGTGTGTGGAAGCCGTGCGACCTCTACTACTGTAAGGTCGCACGACTTTAAACTTACGGACATGTTGGGAAAACCGCCGAGCATCGTACGATGTTCGGCGGGTTTGTGGCATGTCCGTACGATAACAGCCGCACGGGCCGGTGTGCGCAAGCGCACACTGCCCGTTCGGCATTGCGGTCATCGGAAGCCCGCCCCTCAGGGGGCGTGGCTTGCGATCATCGCAAGTACGATCTGCCTATGCAACATAGGCAGATCGTACGTTTTTTTTAAGTACCTTACAACCATCGCAAGACAAAAGTCTTGCGATGGTTGTAAGGTGTGTGCCCAGCCTTACAGGAATGACTTATCCTACCTAGGGGTAGATTTTCTCTCACTTCCTGTTGTCTCAAGGACAGGAAGTAAGATTAAATCTTTCTAATGAGGATACAGACAGCAGTAAAAACCTCACAGTGACCCAGAAGAAGAGGTGGGCACCCCTCGTCTGCACGTCTAACAAGAGCCAACTTCCTGCAATGTAGATACAGTGCTATCACCCAGACCCAAAAAGGCGTGCACCCCTCGTCTGCATGTCTAACAAGAGGCAACTTAATGTAATGTACGTACAGTACTACAAACCAGAGCCAAAAAGGCGGCCACTCCTCGTCGGCACGAGCGCGGCAGCATTACAACTACCCCTGCTGTACAGTAATAACCTTCGTTTGTAAGTAGGAGTCGTATGTAACTCGGTGACTGCCTGTATTGTATTGTACTTCTTTCATCCAAAATCCTAATAAAGTTGAGATTGAACTAAAAATACAAAGGGTCCCCCATTTTGGCTTTAACACCTTTTGGGTTTGACTTTAATTTAATATTTTTTGGGTTTACAGCTTGGTGGCCCTGTCATGCAACATATAATATCACTGCCAGCAGATTGACTGCAGAAATGACATTCACAGTTTCCAACCTCCATCCTAGCAATATGACAAGTCACACCATCAAAAGGTCAACACTTTAGCAAGAAGGCCGCCTCTTTGTAAAGATGCAGTTCCCATGGAACCCTCTCTGGTAGCACAGCAGAACTTAGCTAAACCAAACTTCACATTTTATGACAGTTAGAGGCTTAGGACATGATCACATCATCTTCTTGTAGTTGTGTAGTTGTGGTGGGCAGCAGCCAAGCTGGAGAACTGACCTCTACGGACCGCAGGTTGTGTATTATAACAGTCCATGGAATTCAGTTCTCAGAGCTGGACCAGCCAAGTCGTCGTCATCGTCTTGGAGGATCAGACTGCTTCGACGGTACAGGTATTCGCAAGGGTGACTAAGATAAGATCAAGAAGAAACCAAACCAGTGGTTGGACTTCAACCTTCTCAACCAAATAAGCCGTCATCGTCTTGGAGGATCAGAGAACTTCAACAGCACAGATATCACCACAGGGGTGAAGCAACATAACTTGGATAAGATCAAGAGGAAATTAATGGCTGGACTTCAACCTTCTCCACCGAATACCCAGTATCTCCAGTCAACCGCAGGTGTCACCTGTTTGCCGCTAAGTGCTCTCTGGAAATAGACACAAGCCCTCCACTAGCAGCTAACTCCACTGTGCTACCATCAGACCTACCTTCACTTCTGCTTTATAGCCGACTCCTTGTCAGTAAAGATACACCATCCGGTTACATTGAGGTTGGAGAGATGCACACCAAGATGGCCCTCAAGTGATAACTGGCTCAGGCATGCAAAGAATACATCCTAAGACAGATCTGTAGCTGGGTATGGCAGGACTGGGCAACGTTCTGTGACCTAAATAATCAACACCCCCCTTTTTGGAGTCATTACCACTGATGACAATGGAGTAAACTTTGATATGGAAGAATAATTGGTATGATAAGACAAGTTATTGAAATTCAGCAATATATATATTTTTACATCTAAATTTCAGACTGCAATAGCCACCTGGAACTTTTTGTTGAGCTCCTTGCTTGATTGTCTAATACAGAGGTAGACAACCTCGTCACTCCAGCTTTGGTGAACCTACAAATGCCATCCCATCAGGATCTACCTCAAGAAGTCCTGCTTGTGGATGTCAGTCTAGCAATGCCTCATGAGACTTGTAGATCCTCAACTCAGCAGTTCTGAAGTTGCCCACCCCTGGCCTAGGTGCTAATGTTTTTTTGTTACCAGAACAGAACCCACCACGCTGTCATGGTAGGAGAAGTACTCTACCAAGGCAGAGGGGACACTGTCAAAGAGAAGCCCGTGTGGCCATACATAAAGCAGTGAACGGTCACTCACCTTAATGTAGTCGATAAACTCTGTAAGGAAACTACGTGTCTGCATGGAGAAAAAAAAAAGAAGAAGATTAAGTTAGTACCGGCTGGCATCAGGATATTTCATGCAAATCTGTTATTAAAGATCACACTTCACACACACACACACACACACACACACACACACACACACACAGAGGTTGTGTGATGAGCAATATGGCTTCCTCTACATGTTTCTATAATTACAAAGAATAATGAAGATAGGAATCATAACAAACAGTGAGTATAGTAAGTCCCATCACAGCTAGAAAAAGCAGCTCTGACTGCAATAATCACATTCAATCCAGAGCTGTCCCCTGCAATACCTGTTAAATCACCACAAGAGATGTCACCAGTCTTCTGGGCTGCAGTATTATTCAACACATTGGATCGCAGTTCACCTGTACACAGTTGGCCTGGGCTCACAGTACCCCTGTACACAGTTGGCCTGGGCTCACAGTACCCCTGTACACAGTTGGCCTGGGCTCACAGTACCCCTGTACACAGCTGGCCTGGGCTTACAATCCATTGTCTCTAAGGCAGCCATAAAGCCACATACCACATGCCCAGTCTCCATTAAAGTCACTTTTTGGACTGTGGGAGGAAATTGCATTGCGGAGGAAATGACAAGATATTAAAAATACAATACTAAATACCACGTTTTATAATATTAAAGAAAATAGCGCTCATGTCTCCTATATTACAAACGATATGTTCGTTGTATCACTGTTGTGTTTTAAATTGTGTTTTAAATGGAAAACACAAAAATTGTGTTTTCCATCGTCTAGAATTTCAAGTATATCTAATGTACAAATTCAGCATCAAATATTTTTATACAGTATAAGGTAAAGCTCACCATACAGACAGCGGCAGAATGCAGTAACTGTGTTTAAAGCTAAACTCTGGGCACAAAAATTTATTTTAACCACTTGCTGACCGCAGTGTTTACACCCCCTTCCTGGCCAGGCCATTTTTCAGTGTTCAGCGCTGCGGTACTTTGACTGACATTTATTCCGTCATGGAACGCTGTACTAAAATGAATTGTATAAAAAAATTTGGGGACAGATAGAGCTTTCTTTTTGTGGTATTTAATGACCACTGCGGGTTTTAATTTTTTACTATAGTAAGGAAAAATTACTGAAAATGTTGAATTTTTTTTTTTTTTCATTATGTTAGGAAACATTTATTACCCAATTTTTTGGTGAAATATACAAGACGGGGTCACGTCGGGTAAATAGACACCAAACACGTCGAGCCTTAAAATTGTGCGCTCCCACAAAAATCGCAAACAACGACCACACCCAAAATTGCCCATAGGTGACGCTTTTACCGCTCATCAGTTTAGTGTTATCAGTGATTAATGGCCCTAAAATTGTTGCTCTCACTCCGATGAGACAAGAGACGCATCTTTGCGTGTGTATGTGGGGGGCGGGGGACTTTGAAATTTTTTTTGTGTTTTTTCTTATTTTTTTATGCTTCTTTAATTTTTTTGTTAATCTTTTTTTTTTTTTTACACTTAACTTTATTGCTATCACATAGGGGGCTAAGAAGCTCCCTATGTGATAGCCAATTTACATGACAGGTCCTCTTTATGGAGACATCAGGGGTCTCCAAGACCCCTAATGTCACCTTGGGACCCCCAGAGAAGCTGATGAAGCAGAGATCTGCTCCACCAGCTTTTGTAGCTGGAGAATGACAGCAGAATGCGGAAGTGATGTAATATACATCACTTCCTGCATTTGGGGACCGGAGAGGAGATCAGAGGGAGTTCGTGTACCGATCTCCCTTTGATCTGCTGTCACAGAGCAGCCGTGCGATCCCAGCCGCATCGGGCACAGTGGGTCTCGGGACCGGCGGCTTTCCCCACTCGTGTGCACGCTGGGCGCCGCGCACGAGTAGGGGGAGCGGAAGGACGCCCTCCCGCTGCTATGAGGTGGTTAAATCCCTCAATAGCCACAAAGGATATAAAATCAACTTTGTGTGCACCAAATGTCTTTGCACATCCAGATATTCATATATAAAAGTAAAAGACATCATCACTGTGCTATACACACAGTGCAGAGCTGTGGGAGGGATCCAGCAGGCCACACCCACTACAGGAAACTACAGGAGTGGGCAGAGACAAGACCAGCCACCCCACATAAGGAGAGAGCAGCAGTGAGCGGTCTTTATTACAGGAGAGGGCGGAGACAAGACCGGTCACCCTGCACAAGGAGAGAGCCGCAGTGACCGGTCTTTATAACAGAAAGCTCCAAGTCTCACACTGGATTACTGCACAGATCTGGAAGAAATACACAAAGCTCATCAAGATTCAGGAAGAACACAAGGGACTCTTGTACGAGGATATTTCCTTGTCCTGAAGTTCAGCCTTGCCATCTGTGTGCCACTGGAGATATTCTCCTTTCCTTCCTGTCCTTTAGAACAACAGGAAGTTAAAGAAAAGGGAAGTGTGGACTTAGCGACTTAGTTGTTGCCGTGGAAGATTTTCCCCTTTAATCCTAAGCAAGTGAAAAGTCAAAATGTTTGATCTTCTCCTACTTCCAGTCCCCGTGATAACGGTCACCTCCCCCCCCCCCCCCAAAAAAAAAAAGATTGGCTTTAGATACACTTTAATGACTGAAACTGCGAATTGATCTTTAAATAGAAGATATAGATAATGTCATATTTGGAAGAGAGTACATCAGATTAAGAAACATTAAAGTGACACTAAACTCAGGAAATAAATCTTAAAAATACATTCAAGTACCTTCACCATTAATAAAAATGTATCTTATTTGTGTATCACTCGGCTGTAGATCCTCCAATCATCTCTGAATTGGCGCGGACACTGTCCTTCCTTCTGGAGGGGGGCTACATTTGTTCCCCATGGTCCCTGTGTGTGTTGTAAAGCAGTCACCGCTCCAAGATCACTCCTGTGCTGGACTACAATCTCACGTTTAGTTTACTAATTTGTATTGAAATTATATCCATAGGAGTGAGCTTGGAGCGGTGATCTATGAGAAGCGCTTCTTAGAAAAAAAATGCTTTTCATCCCTCAGCGTGGTCAGACAGAAACGCTTTTCATTGGTCAGCAAAGTCAGGTGACTGCACCGACCATACAGTGCTTGGCATTTGCAAGCAAAATTCAAAATAGCGGAGAGGGGCCAGATTGGAGGCGGTGATTCCATTCGCTCAAATTTACCTGGGAAAGTGCAGTTCCCCTTTAAGTAATGCTGAGGCCTTCAAATGAGAAGACCGAGGACATCTTGTGGCAAAGAAGAGGTAGTGCAGGAGACAGCCATACTGAAGAGCACTGCAGTCTGAGCCGCTTTATTTATAATGTAGCGCAGAGAAGCTGCTCTGCCTTCATCTAAATGGCACACAAAACAATAAGGGAGAGCAGCTTAAAAAAGAAGGCCCGCGTGTGACAAAACAATGGTGGGGGGGAATTTATCAAAACTGGAGCAGACAAAATCTGGAGCAGATTTGCACTGCCACTAATCAGCTTCTCTCTCTCATTTTCTAATCTTACCTGAGCAAATTCAAGAGAGAGACTGATTGGTTGCCACGGCAACTGCTCCAGTTTTGATAAATGCCCCCCCCATGACTTTTACACAATCTCAAAGCAGAACAGTCATCCACGTGTGGAAAATGTAAAATAAGGAGTTGTGTACGGCCAGAACAACATTAAATAATCCTATAGTGTGACAATATGGAAGCTGCCACTGCCGACATCTCCTCCTGAAAAGGCTAATGGCCAGGCTGTCATGCTGATCCAATGGTTTTAATACTTTTAGGCAACAGGTTATGTTTACAGATATAAATATGAGCTATACCGCAGTATTTTGCTTAGACATGAGTTATTCTTTAACACAACCTTGTCTGATTTGCAGAGATGGACAAATGTGAGTCCATCACAAGAGTAAGAGAGCAAGGCTGTTGCATATTGTAAATTGTGTGCAACCAAATAATAAAAAGAAAGGCATAATGGCTACATAAAGCAGAAGAGACTGCAGACCCAGCATAGACTAGATCTACGGCAAGTGACACCAAATACAGAACCCTGTAATTAGACCGACTCCCACACACAAGAGCCGGGCTTGTGATTGGCTGCTCGGACCTGACTACTTCATATTGTAACCACCGCGGCACCATAACGCCCTCGTCTTTAGATGTGGTCAGCACTGTAGCTGGTGTTTTTGAGCAGAGCAGACACCCGGCGTGGTTTTGTCAGCGTTTTAATTCAAAAAATTAGTTCCGAAGGTCAAAATGACACACATGACATGATACAGGTTCACATGCAGCTAAAGTTAGAGGACAAAAAAAATAATACAGTTTTACATCTTCTAAAACCTCTTAATAAAAGGAATAGAAGGTAAATATAAAATAAAAAGTATCTTCTATAGACATCTCTCTCTGCACCTATGGATGATGCAGAGAGATGGTATTAGCACTCCTCAATCATAATCCTTGGTGCTCCAGCAGAAAGTATGGACGCTTTATTGCACTGACAGGGGTGGGCTGTGACAACAAATGTTGGTGCAATAAAACACCCATATTATCCCTCTGGAAGAAGGAAGTGGTACTCTCATGGGTCTTGTAATGAAGCAACATAAACCTGTTTATTGGACATTTCAACACGGCATTGGTTGTCTTTCTTGAGAATATACTATATATATATTGGCAAGCGGCAAACCCAGACACGTCCATCGGATTGCCAGACAGAGAAGCGTGATTGGTCACGCCATAGAGTGTGCCATGATGCCTTTCTACTGTTCAAAGCCCATTTCGTGTGCACCTTACTGTATAACTGGTAACAAATTGTTGAGTGCGTTTGTCGTTTGTTTTGCTTTACCGATTTGGTGCAGCGCCGCATGGGGTTTCTCAGCTGCCAATGGGATGTGCGGGATCCATTGTTTGTTTCTGTACCTTTAAGGAGGTGGGGCGTCCTCCTGACAAGCCTGCACCCAATTTGATATCTTCTGCCCCATGTGCTCCAAGATGGAGACTCTCATAGTTTAGAGTTAGGACCGCACTATAAGAGGT